CAATCAGAACACATCTTATTCAGGATATAACATGGAGGTTTTCTGAAGGAAAGGGCCTTTCGTTTGACTTTGGTCCCGTTTGGTTTTGGTTATCGCTTTGCTTCGCGTGTATTTTTGTATAGCTTCAGCTTTGTTGTTTTATTGGTTTCTGTTGTTTTCTTTGTACTTTTTGTTTGTGTTTATCCTTGTTTTGCCATTACCTTGCCCTAACGTGTTACATGTTCAACCTTTGTGTTCTTTTGTACCCAGTTCCTGTTGATAACTCTTGTTCTCCCTAATTTGTAGGCCTGGTTCACTTGTGTTTTTTTGTGAACTTTTGTGTATAAGGTTAGTTTATGTTGTTGGGTACACTTTACACACTTAGTTGATTTTGTATTAGTACACTAGTTTAGTACAGGTGAGTGCCATTTGTCTTGTATGGGTTTGGGTAGTCAGGGGAGGTTAGTTAGGGTTTTGAAGACGTCGAAGACCGTGTGTTTCGGGTTTTCTTTTGTAGTTAGGTAAGCTTTCCCTCACTTTCCTAGCCAGATCCATTTTGTTTGTTATTTTCTTTTCTTTATCACGCTTCCTAGTCCCCCACCAGAACCCACCTGCTCCCAAAAGAATTATCCTAAATGTTACACCCCTTTACCCCTAGACACTTGAGGTCGTAACAAATGCAGTATAAAGCCAGGCAAGCCTGTCTCAGTTTATGTGATTATAAAAAAATATAATTTCCATAATCTCAAGGAGTAACAAGTTACACATCCATGGTTTCGTTTCTAATTCTCAGTGATAAAGACAATTTTGATGTTGATAAATACACTGTAAATGCCTGTTCTTTTCAAATCATATTTGAAATTGTTGAATATGCAATAATACTAAATATAACAACATTACTTAATTTTATGTTTGTCTTTTTACAGGAAAAACATGTCCTGTGATACATAGGATTAACTACACTCTGAACTTTACTGGAATGACTGAAAATACACTATTCTGTTATGAATCTGTGAATAAGTCATGTGTAAAACACATTTATTTGACCACAGTACGTACTCCAATATACATGATCTTTGTAGCAATTATTCTCTTTACTGTTTTTGGAAACTTGTTTGTCGTCATCTCCATCGCACACTTCAAACAGCTTCACACACCAACCAATTTTCTCGTTCTCTCATTAGCGTTTGCTGACTTGTTATTAGGAGGATTTGTTATGCCTCCCAGTATGGTCCGATCACTTGAAACTTGTTGGTACTACGGAGACTTGTTTTGTAAAATCCATTCCAGCACAGATGTAATGTTATGTACTACTTCTATATTCCATCTCTCCTTCATTTCAATTGATCGATATTATGCCATCTGTGAACCGCTAAAATACAAAACCAAAATCAACATTTCTGTTGCGCTTAACATGGTTGTCATTAGTTGGAGTATTTCAGCTGTTATTGGATTTGGACTGATTTTTCTAGAGTTAAATATAAAGGGGAAGGAAGATGTCTACTATGAGAATGTATATTGTGTAGGGGGCTGTACTCTGATACAGACTGAAATATCTAGCCTGATTTGTTCCCTGCTGGCGTTTTACATCCCGGGGTTTATTATGTTAGGAATATATTTGAAAATTTTCCATGTAGCAAGGAGACAAGCCAGGGCAATTGAAGGCCTCGTATCCCAGAGTAAGAGCTCAGAACACAGCAAAACAATGACTTCAAGCAAGACAGAAAGAAAAGCTGCGAAGGCTCTGGGAATAGTGATGGGGGTCTTTCTCTGCTGCTGGATGCCATGTTTCTTGAGTAGTAGCCTGGATCCTATTTTTAATTATTCAATTCCACCCATTTTATTTGAATTTTTTATGTGGCTAGGATACTTAAATTCTACACTTAATCCTCTTGTCTATGCTTTCTTTTACAGCTGGTTCAGAAAAGCTCTTGTTATGATACTGTTTGGTCAAATATTCCAAGCCAATTCTTCAAGAACAAAACTAATTTCAAATTAAAGATCTTTTATTGTAATATTTTAATAGTCATAGGAAACATAATAATGTAGTTGGGTATGATATTCTCCTGGTCATAAATTTTGAAAAGAAAAAAGTTATTTTTTCTTGGACATACAAGTTGAAATTTCTTATTTCACTTCACGGCTGTGACACATACTGTTTTGTTTTGCACACTGTGAGAATACAAAATAATAATAAAATTTAGAAACTGTTTGTGGATGAGTATAAATGTAAAAATCTGGAAGGTTCAAGCAAATATTTACACAACTTTCAAATTTACACACAAACAAAATGGATCTGGCTAGGAAAGTGAGGGAAAGTTAACCTGACTGCAAAAGAAAACCCAAAACAAACGGTCTTTGGCGTCTTCAACACCCTAGCTAACCTGCACTGACTACCCAAAACCATACAGGACAAATATCACTCACCCGTACTAAACTAGTGTTACTAATACAAAATCAACTAAGTGTGTAAAGTGTACCCAACAACCTAAACTAACCTTATACACAAAAGTTCACACAAAAACACAAGTGAACCAGGAATACAAATAAGGGAGAACAACAGGAACAGGATACAAAAGAACACAAAAGTTGAACATGTAACACGTTAGGGCAAGGTAATGGCAAAACAAGGATGAACACACAAACAAATAAAAGTACAAAGAAACTAACAGAAACCAACAAAACAACAAAGCCGAACCTATACAAAAATATACACACACAAAGCAAAACAACAAACCAACAAAGCCGAAGCAATAACCAAAAGCAAAGCGAAGTGAAGCAATAACCAAAACCAAGTAGGACCGAAGTCAAACGAAAGGCTCTTTCCTTCATAAAACCTCCCTGTTATATTCTGAATAAGATACACTCTGATTGGCTGATAAGCTAATGGATCACGATATCATACAGAAAGTGTGGTGTAATGGTGGGCCAATGGGGAAGGGAGAACAATCAAGGGTCAGCAGTGTGGAACATAACAAAAACACACACAGACCACACACTGGGACGTAACACTGTGTAACCCTGGGAAACAATTTTTTTCCCACACATACTGTATCAGTTTAAGCAAACAAGCTGTCAGTGGGACGCAGTGCCACCAAACTTTTAGCAATTGTGTATTGGGGTATATTTCCAAGATGGGGTATATTTCCATCTTGAACTTAAAATAAACGGTATTGCACTTACAGTATCAGGGATGTGTGGGTTATATTAATTATATTGCGACTCACTATGTTGTTATTTTCCTCTATCTTTTAGTTACTTCGGAAAGTGGGTTGTAATACTTTATTTAACACATTCGTTAAACAATAAGGCCTTACTATGGAGTGTTACTTCGACTTTCTTTTGGAATTGTTGTTTATTTAACAGGTAATTGGGGGGAGTCAAATTCTAATATTGCACTTCCACTGCGCTACATAGCAATGCTTCCTGGCACCATATAGCCATTCAAGGATCTTTTCTAGAATATGGGATTTTGGTCTCTTCAAAGATGGGTGTGTGACACACTAAGAATATAACTTTATCATGTGTGTCTCCTACAAGCCAGCCTGGAGTTACATTTTCACCTCTTTGACCTCAAACCCTTAGCTTACAGTATGTGCACTCAGCATCTAACTGTGGCCTGACGTAATCAATATTATCCTGCCAATATTATTCTGACAAGCCCACAAATCCTGAGCTCATTTCTCCACTATTTACATAATTTCTGTTATTACTAATTTATTCTATGAACTACAGTACATGTACGTCATCAGCTTAGGGAACACATCAGGTATTGTTATTATAGCATGAGCTTCCAAGCAGAATAACACATCAATAAGAGGTGCAGATTCCTCAAGATTCTCAAAAAACACTATTATCAATGACTTCATCATTTTTCAGTGATGTGATATGTATCTTTTAAAATACCTTTGTCCAGTAAAACAGATCAGTCAATATTCATGAATTAAGTTGAGAAACTCTGTTTTGCTTAATAGAATGATTATTCATAGAGGTGTTTCTTTTTTTCATGAAAATCATTATTTCGAACGTGAAAACCTCAATTATGGAAATAACATATTTAAAATTGAGTCATAAGAAGCCCCTGGAAAAATATATTGCTGGGGTTAAAATATGTTCATTTTGATTAAAATATAGATCTACATAATCTCAATGTTGTAAATTGCTGAAATGTGCTTGCTGTATTGGTAATGTAAACAATAAATAAAAATGTTTATGCAACAAGCAAGGTGTTTGAAAGTGACAGCAATTAAACCTTTGTTCCTTTTGGTAATGCTCTTGCCAAATGGCATGGTATTGCACTTCCCAGTTGGGTAACACACACTACTAAATCTGTGAGAACACAAAATACAACTAAAATTAATTAAATGTCTGTAGATTGAACTGTAATGCAACCAATGAAAGAGCTACAAATTGCCTCAAGTAGTTAAACAATTTTAAATACACATTATGGTTTAAATATTTGGAAGTGTTGGAAGGCTAGTCTGGTTAGCATGCAGCCATATCACCCTGCAATTCACAACTGGAAACCCACTGAAGCTAAGTAGGTTTGAGCCTGGTCAGTACCTCTATGGAAAACCTCCTGAGAAAGCTAATGTTGCTCCTGGAAGAGATATTAGAGGGGCCAGTAGGGCGGCGCTCTCCCTGCAGCCAGTGTTGGTCCTAATTCTCCAGTATAGTGATGGGGACACTATACTTTCAGAAGGCACTGTCCTTCAGATGAGACATAAAACTGAGGTCCTGACTCTCTGTGGTCATTAAAAATTCCAGGGCGTTTCTCATAAAGAGTAGGATGTTACCCCAGTGTTCTAGCCATTGGCCCTTACCAAGCATGGACTCCTAATAATCCCCATCTATGAACTGGCTTCATCACTGTTCTCCTCTCCACTGATAGCTGATGTGTGGTGAGCGTTCTGTGTGCACGATGGCTGCCGTCACATGTGGGTGCACACAATGTGGGTGCCACACACTGGTGGTGGAGGGGAGTCTCCATTACCTGTGCTGTGTCCAACAAAAGGAGACACGATCCAGGTGTTTATGAAGCAGGAACTTCCTTTATTACGTATGCATACAGGAGCCAAAGCAGATGAAGCTCTGACTCAACTCATTAATACAAAAGGACTCTTTTTATTCAAATTCACAAACAGAAAACCCACCCAGAACAGTTTCAGTACAACTCCATTTCATATAATGTGTAAAACCAAGGCTTCTAGTCTTGGTACACAATAAACTGTAAGAACTGTAAGAACATTCTTGGGTTACTTTAATCATTATTTAAGCAGACATTCTGAATTTTGTTAATCATTACTTAAGCAGATATCAGGCACTCTCAGTTCTGGTCAGGCTGCCCAAAGCTGGCTGTGCCCTTCATGTTCCAGGCACATAGCCAGCTCACACTTGAGTTGCATTTAGTATTTTTTCTTTATTCTTGCAGGATAGTAAATTATTTACACAGTAAAAGCAAACTAGTGTAATAAGGGAAATAAATGTTTCATCCCTCAGTCCCCCCTTAGAACATATTGACACATTTTCCAATCATGTTCTACACAAACAAATGTAACAAGCGTTCTGATGGTTTTTTGTCTTCAGAATGGACTATCATCATAGATGTGGAAAACCTTAGTGCATTAAATTTTAATTTATGATATTACTAGGACAAAAATAACAAATATTACCAATCCCAGCAATAAATATTGAGCCAGGATACCATCCCAAGAGCAGAACACTGACTTTAACCATGAGCTGATGCCCTAGTCATCAAGAAAATAATTGTGATACTTCTATCCTTCATCATAGATGTGCTGTGATAAATCCGTGATGTGTTCCAAATTGTCAGGAATGTAAGTACAACACTCAGCTCCAATTACTGCACATGTGCCCCCTTTACATTGGCATATATGTTTATAATAAATATGGCATATATTTTTATATTAAAAGGAATGATCCTAGTGACAGAAACAAATTTTCTCTGTCATACCTATGTTGTTCTGGGACCTCTGTTGGTCCCACTTTTGTTACAGGAAACAGCAAAATGGCAAAATACAACATTTTTTAGCTGGTCAAATCTGCCTCACTTGGAGAAGCATGCTGACAGTGAGTGACATGGATCCAGTGGCCTTTCTCCTCAAGCTTGACGGACAATCCAGTGGTCAGCAGCACCCGGAACGGTCCTTTCCACCAGGGCTGCAAAGTGTGTGAAGGAAATTTCTTGACCCAAACCCACTCGCCGGGGATGAGATCTGGTTGTGGTCCCCAGGCCTCCAGCACCTGGTCTCTGGCTCCGTTAACTGCCTCCGTCAAAAGCTGCAACAGGCAATCAGCAATTAAACTCAAAGTTCCTTTGGTTAAGTCTGGGTTACCTGGGCTGCCCTGTTGTTATTTTAAATGGGCTCAGTCCCACAGAGTGATTTGTGCCTGCCCTGATACTGCAGAGCACAGGTGCAAGGGCATCTACCTATTGAGTGCCCTCAGTGTTGTACCACTCCTTGATAGTGCAATTTATTCGTTCCACCATTCCACTACATTGTGGATGGTGAGGACAGTGCAGATCCCAGTTGATGCTTAGCATTTCTGACACCGCCTGGCACATCTTCCCAGTAAAGCGGGTGTCCTGGTCAAGACAACAAGGTAATCCCCATTTGGGGTATAATTTCTGTCAATAAATATTCCACAGTCACAGCGTCTGTGGCTCATTTTAATGGATACACCTCAACC